GGCATTTAATTTTTTTGTCAGGAAATTGTCTGCAGTCTTCTTTGAAGTTAAATTTTGTACAACTTAAGATCGTTGGCATCTTCAACAGACTCTTCTGTGAAGACCACTCTAGTTTTGACTTTTGAAAACTATGAGATCCTGTGATATGCTCAGAGCAGGTCGTACCAAATGGGGAATATTATCAATTCTATTTTTTAATGTATGCATAAATATTTGAGCCATGATACTGTCAAAGGAACTGTTTCTCTGCTCAATTCAACTATGCTAACAAGACCAGGCTCTCCATATAAATTGTCCCTATTAATGATTCTTTTGAATGTTTTGCCAAACTTAAATGATGCAATATTATAAACCCTATTGTGCCACAACATAATATTTTTCCAATTAAATACAGAAGTTACAGGGAAAAAATTATTTCCACAGTAGAGCTATTCTAAATCAGAATTATAGAATTTAAAAATTAAATTTTGTGGACCATTGGGCCTTCATCACGTACATTTTTCAGTCTCTGCTTGCTTTTGTGAGAACATATTTACAGTATCTTCTCACTTTCAGGCCTTGTTCTTTAATTCCAATTCTCTAAAAGCTTCAAATGCTGATGCTTTTGGTATTCAGTTAATTGAATGCTTTTATTAATGGTTTCCAACTGATTCTGAAAGGGAAATGCAGACAAATGAAAAGGAATCCTACTTTCAATAATGAATAGGTAGGGAGATACAAATTAGTTTTTCAAAGCCTGATGCATTGTTAAAATTCAGCTGATGAGAGGCAGCAAAGAGAGCAAGTATGTTCTTGCCAAAATGATGTATTTTTTGCAGCTGTTGCAAAAATATTACAGTGAGATATGTATGTATGCATATACATATGTGCATACATACATATATATGTTTCTCATACTCAATTCCAAGAATATTTCTGCTTCACTTTTCTAAATTTAGTAATAAAAGTGTTATTTTTATTAAAACACTGTACTCCACATTGCAAAACTAAATAATTTGTCTATAAATGTTGAACTTTTGGGTTGGAATTACAATTGCAAGTACAATAACATCAGATGTGTTTCCTTAGACAGACTAAATTTCTGAAAGTTTTCCTTTGATCTCATGAGTTTGATGAAAAAATATTGAAATTAATTTAATTTTCTACTTATGTATCTAAGATGACACTGATATAAAATTGGTATGAACACAACTATTTGTAAAATTATCTTGCTAATGGAGCCAAGATATTAACAAGTACAATTACAGTTTTTACTTGTATATAAGAAAACTTAAGCTCCAAAATGAGTGAAATTAACTTAGAACAACAGTTATTTGACCTAAATGAAAAGCCATTCTTCAAAAAACATTATGTAAAGTGCCACATGTGTTAAACTCTCTTCTTTGGAATGTTTAGTTAGGATAGATGCCAATGCTCTACAGCAGATGAATTTGTTTGGGTTTTCTTATGGTCAGTGATATTGTTATGGCCCTCATGTGAATGGTTAATATCGACGGGGTACACATTCAATATCAACTTTCTTGAAAAATTGAAATCTGGTCATTCATTTTTTTCTTAGAAAGGGCACTTTTTTGTTGAGGAAAGCATAACAGCTACTAAAAGATTTATTAAAAAATAAAAAATTACTAAAAAGTAAAAAACAAAAAACAAAAACTAGTTTCAGAGTTATACAATGTGCCCACATAGCAAGTACTACTTTCTGTACCTATAGGTTTGAGTGCACAACCATTTGCCTTTTTCCTGTACACATTTCAACCTACAATTTGTTCTAATCCTCACTGCCCAGGCTGACGGAAGGCTGGTGCAGGGGTCCGAGAAGCTATGGGGTGAGCCCGGGCATAGGTGGCTGATGGACAACATGGCTGGCAGAGGTAGCAGTTTCCAATGCTACCCACCACCATGCTGGACTGGGGAGAGTGGACTGCTTAATAGTAGGTTGATGCATTCTTTTTCATTGAGAACACCTCTATGCCATCCTTAAAGGGCACTGTTGGATAAGTTGCATCTTGGCAGGCTTGGGGAAAGACAGGAAGGTTATGGTTGGTCAGATTAAGATTTCATAGAGAATGCAGTTCACTGCTCATGTGTTGCATATACTACTAGAGGCCACCAGAGCAGAGAGGAAAGTACAAAGCTACAACCAGTGAATCCATGAATGGGTGGAAAAGAATCTCTCTCTCTCTCTCTCTCTCTCTCTCTCTCTCTCTCTATATATATATATATATATATATATATATATATATATATATCTCCAGAGAGAGAGAGATGAAGGAGATTAAGAGAAGAGATATGCATAGCCCAAGATCACAGATAATAGTGTGGGGAGGGCCAAGGCAGGTGGGGCAGGGGCTGGGTGGAGGTGAGCAAGGGAAGAGGGAATGGGGAGCATCTGCAATAGTGTCAAAATCAACAAATTTTTGGTAAAAATCAATACAACTTGCCAGCCGGTATGCTTAGTGATTGAGCGTCAACCCATGAACCAAGAGGCAATTGGTTTGTTTCCTGGTTAGGGCACATGCCCAGGTTGGGGGTACAATACCCAGTATAGGGTATGTAGGAGGCAGCCAATCAATGATTCTCTCTCATCAATGATATTTCTATCTCTTCCTCTCCCTTCCTCTCCCTCTTTCTTCCTCTCTGAAATCAAAAACATATTTCTTTTAAAAAGCAATACAATTCAAAGGAAAAGTAAACTAATTAAATCTTGGAAAAAATTTTAAAAGAGAAATCCAAGACGATGTTAATTTGGAAGGTATTATATAAAGGCATAAACTGGGACATTCCTGAGCAAACTGACATGTGTGTGGGTCACCCTTCAATAAACAACTGTTAAGAAAATGTGGCTCAGTGGTTGACCTATGAATCAGTTGGTCACAGTTAGATTCCCAGCCCAGCCCAGCCAAGGTATATGCCCAGGTTGTGGACTAGATCCCCAGTGGGGGGGTGCAGGAGGCAGATGATCAATGATTCTTTCTCATCATTGATTTTTCTCTCTCTGAAATCAATAAAAATATATTTTAAAAAGAGAAAATGTAATTGACATAGCCAAAAATTGGAGAGTGAGAACTTCCTAACTATAAGGCATATGTGAAGAGCTTCACGGGAACCACCTATTTAATGCCCCCAGTGAGCATAGCAATGAAATGGTTTTGTTTCTTCAGCAGCCTGGTTTCCTTCCATTTCCTTAGTACAAAGCTGAGGAATTCGAGGCATTACTCAAGTCTCTGAGGTCTTTGAGAGAGACCAATCATCTCTCTCTCAAGGATTTGGATCTTGAGTAGAATGTCACAGGGACAAAAAGTGCTTTCTTTAAAAGTCATTCAGTGGCACGACCTTGGAGGGGCTGTCCTAGATCCCAGTGCTACCCTGGTTCCTAGCCTTGAGGACTCGCTATTTGAGTCCTCACTAATTTCATTAATTACTCAGTGTCCTTTTAATACATTCCAGCACATTAAGTTGCCACAATTAGTTTCTGAGGCTTACAACCAAAGCGCCCAGACTCCCTCAGAAATGAAATCCAGTCTGTCTGTCTCCAAAGTCCATGCTCTTATAGCAGCCTGGTATTTCCTTAGCCACCACCTGTGCCAGACAGGCCCCCACTTGGCTTTGCCCTAGCAGAACACACTGGAAGGAAACAGCTCAGACCTCTCCTGAGGAAGCCTTCACCTGAGCACTGGCTTTGCCCCATTCTTGCCTGGTTCAGCTAGCCTTGATTTCCCCTGGGCTGTCCGGGAGAGACACTTTTTGATGTGCTATCTTCTTTCTCAAATCTTATCGATATTTAGTCTGCATTCTGCTTTAACAAAATCACAGGCAGCTATAAGCAGCCTTGAGAAAAGCAGTATTTCTATGAATACTTTCTCAGCCTCCACTTCAGCCTCTTTCTCAAAGATGCTGATGAAAAGGCAGTACCCAAGTGGCCAGAATTTCTTACTGTACCGCACATACTTTTCCAAGCTGGAAAAAATAAAGTTTCCTGGAGGAAAGTAGGGAGGAAAAGGGCAGCACAGCTGAATAGCAGAGAACTGTATCACATACCCAACAGGCTTTTTAAATGATGTCAAATGGGGAAACTGCTGATGCAAAGAATCATGTAAAAATTATATCTTCATAAAAAGACACATTTGCAAAGGACACTACCTCTAAAATTGCTACCTCAGCATGGTACAACTGACACTTACTTCTGCCAAAATTTCAGATGCCCCTTATAATAATTTATGCAGAGGAAAGAGAGAAGGCACTGAGAAGGAAACAAGCACATTGAGAAAGCTGAAAACCAACATAAAGTGAACAGGAAATATAGGTCATTGCTATACCCAAAATTTAAGTAACTAGTGACTACTGTTTGAGTCAGCTTTAGTTTTTCAAAGTAAAAGAGCAACATATGATCTCATCATACATATTCTGGCACACAGAACTAGATAAACGGCTTTGTACCAGTTTTCTATTTCTGCACGCAATGACATCATCAAGCTAAAGGAACCAAACTGGAAGAAAATGATCCCAAGGTCTGAACTACAGCAAACACTGAGAACTCTATGAGGAACTTAAGAGGAAGTATGAATTTTCTGCATGCATATTTTCTGAGTATATATAATGTAGAGCAATTACCATAAATTACAATCCATTTAACTCACTCATCTTATGGATGAGCATGTGGAGGCCCAAAGAGATTAACTGACTTGCTCCAAGGTCACAAACCCAACTGATGGTAGATCCGACATCAGAAAGCAAGCCTCCTAGTTCCATTATCAACTATTCTTTCCTTTTCACTAAATTGCCCTCGTTCATGTGAGTTAGGTTTAAAGCATTCCCAGGTGATTGAACGTGGGGCTACCAGTCCCAGTCAGGTCTGTGTAAACTGTGCGCACACACCAGCAACTATTGTATGTCTAAGGGACCTGGAGTTGGCAATGATCTTGGCACCACCTACTCTAATGTGGGTGTATTCCATCATGGAAAAGTGGAAATAATTGCCAACTATCAGGGAAACTGAACCAACCCAAGTTATGTTGCCTTTACTGATACTGAGTAATTGATCAGTGAGGCTGCAAAGAATCAAGTAGCAATGAATCCTACCAACACGGTCTTTGATGCCAATAGCTTGATTGGACGTAGATTTGATTATGCTGTTGTCCAATCTGACATGAAGCATTGGCCTTTCACGGTGGTGAATGATGCTGGCAGGCCCAAGGTCCAAGTAGAATGCAAGCGAGAGACAAAAAGCTTCTATCCAGAAGAGGTGTCATCCATGGTTTTGACAAAGATGAAGGAAATCGCAGAAGCCTACCTTGAGAAGACTGTTACCAATGCTATTGTCACAGTACCTGCTTACTTCAATGACTCTCAGCATCAGGCCACCAAAGATGCTGGAACTATTGCTTGTCTCAGTGTACTTAGAATAATCAATAAGCCAATTGCCACTGCTATTGCTTATGGTTTAGACAAAAACATTGAAGCTGAAAGAAACGTGCTGATCTTTGACCTGGGAGGTAGCACTTTTGATGTGTCATTCCTCACAATTGAAGAAGGAATCTTTGAGATCAAATTTACAGCTGGATACACCCACTTAGGTGGAGAACACTTTGACAACCTAATGGTCAACAATTTCATTGCAGAGTTCAAAGGCAAACATAAGAAGGATATCAGCGAGAACAAGAGGGATGTCTGTCGCCTTTGTACTTCTTCTGAACATGCTAAGCATTCTCTCTCTTCCAGCACCCAGTCCAGTACTGAGACTGATTCACTCTATGAAGAAATCAACTTCTATACCTCTATCACCTATGACCGATTTGAAGAGAAATAAACTTAATACAGAGGTAAAAGACATGTACTTGGAAAACTACAGGACATTAAAAAAAAAAAAGATAGAGGAAGATATAGACAAATAGAAGAATATACTGTGTTCATGGATTGGTAGAATCAACATCAATAAAATGTCCAAACAACCCAAAGCAATCCATAGCATTAATGCAATCTCCATTAAAATACCAACGGCATATTTCACAGACCTAGAACAAACTCTCCAAAAATTCATATGAAATTTTAAAAAGACCCCAAATAGCTGCAGCAATCTGGAGAAAGGACAAAGTTAGAGGAATCACAATACCAGATATCAAGCTATATTACAAAGCCACTGTTCTCAAAACTGCCTGGTACTGGCACAAGAACGGACATATAGACAAATGGAACAGAACAGAGAATCCAGAAATTGACCTAAGCCATTATGCTCAATAAATATTTTACAAAAGAGGCAAGAGCACACATACAATGGAGTCAAGACAGTCTCTTCAATAAATGATGTTGGGAAAATTGGACAGGTACATGCAAAAAATAAAATAAAACTAGACCATCAACTTACACCATATACAAAAATAAACTCAAATGGATAAAGGTAAGATGGGAAACCATAAAAATCTTAGAAGAATCCAAAGGCAACAAAATATCAGACATATATTGTAGCGATAGCTTTACCAATGTAGCTCCTAGGGCAATGGAAACTGAGGAGGAAAATAAACAAATGGGACCACATCAAAATAAAAAGCTTCTGCACAGCAAAAGAAACCATGAACAAAACAACAAGAAAGCCCACTGCATGGGAGAACATATTTGCCCATGTTATCTCTGATAAGGGTCTAATCTCCAAAATTTATAGTGAACTTATACATCTTAATAAAATGAAGATAAACAATCCAATCAAAAGTTGGGCAAAGGACAATGATTCTCTCTCATCATTGATGTTTCTCTCTCCCTCTTCCTTCTTCTTTCAAATTTTTCAAAATCGCTACTTCTTATCCTTTAATTTTATTTTTAAATTATATTTTAATTATTTCAGATAGGAAGGAAGTAGGAGAGAGAAGCATCAATGATAAGAATCATTGTCCTTTGCCCTGTATGTCCTCCTTCAAAAATAGAAACTTTTTTAAAGAGGACATACAGATGCCAAGAGACATATGAAAACATGCTCAAAGATACTAATCATCCAAGAGATGCAAGTCAAAATGGCAATACGATACCATCTCACACCTGTCGGAATGAATCACCAAATGACGTGCTAGCGAGGATGTGGAGAAAAAGGAACCTTTGTGGTGGAGATGTAGACTGGTGGAGAACAGTGTGGAGGTTCCTCAAAAATTTAAAATGGAACTCCCATTTGACCCAGTATTCCCACTTCTGGGAATATATCCCAAGAAATCAGAAACACCAATCAGAAAGGACATATGCACCCCTAAGTTCATAGCAGTACAATTTACAATAGCTAAGAGTTGAAACAGCACAAGTGCCCATCAGCAGATGAATGGATTAAAAACTATAATACATCTACACAATGGAATACTACACTACTGTAAAAAAACATTACCAACAGCATGTATGAACATGGTAAACATTATACTAAGCCAGTGGTTCTCAACCTTACTAATGCCGTGACCCTTTAATACAGTTCCTCATGTTATGGTGACCCCCAACCATAAAATTATTTTCGTTGCTACTTCATAACTGTAATTTTGCTACTGTTATGAATCAGAATGTAAATATCTGTGTTTTCCGATGATCTTAGTTAGGTGACCCTCCTAGCGGTTCTCAACCTGTGGGTCTCAACTTAATTTAACAACTCCTCTACTTAACTCAGCATTCTTAACCTTGTGTTCTTGCTGCTATCCTATTGTGAAAGACAGGAATTCAACCCGAGAAGTCACAAAGTGGTGGTAGAGTGAGAGCTGCTCTGAGGAGGGCTAAAGGAGTAGTTTATTATTCTTTGTGGAAACTGAAAACAAAAACTACATGGATCATAAATCTAATTCAACAATCAACTTAGACTGCTCTTTCCAACCAGGCAACTACTGAATGCCTCCTGTGGATGTGTAGCTCTGAACAGGTTCCTCCCTCAAGCCATCTAAACTCTAAAGATTAGCACCAGAGTCAGATCAGAAGTAAAATAAGTGCCATCCGACTCATCAAACAGTGAACTTGGCTGATCTGTTTTTTCACCTTGACGTTTCTTTTCCTTGTTGGCGCTCTTGAGCAATGACTCTGAAAATAAAACAGCTTGATGACAAAGGCAAAATTGAAAAATGCAGAGCCTAAAATCTCTACCACTGAAATAAACATATTATCTAAGATAACCTAGAACCAACTACTTTACTACCAGAGCAGGTTGTATTCCCAATTAAGAACTCTAAAATATTTTTTAAAGAGTAACCACTTTTTATCCTTTAAATTTTATTTTTAAAATAGATTTTAATTATTTCAGAGAGGAAGGAAGAGGGAAAGAGAAACATCAACGATGAGAGAGAATCATTGATAGGCTGCCTCCTGCATGTCCCCCACTGGGAATTGAACTATGATGACCTCCTGTTTCATAGGTCAATGCTCAACCACTGAGCCACACTGGCTGGCTATGATTTGTTTTAAATCCCATTCAGTGAAACTACAAGTATTATAGTATTAAATTGTAACTCAACAAACATTTAAGCCCTAAATACCTCCAAAGAGATCCCATACCCCCTGGAGTACCCAGCACAGCAGCTAAAGCAGATGGGTCTGACAGAGTTTTATCCCTCTCCAAACTGGCTGTAGAGCTATATAATTAGCTACATTATCCCTAAATTATAGCAGTTTGGGAAAAGAGGACTGAAAACTCTTAGTCTGTTCACAAAGAACTATAATGTAAAATACTTCATTGGCTTCAGATGCTCTAAGTCCTAAAACAATGAAAGGTTAATGAATTACTTATATGGAGTAAAAGAAAATAAATTAAGGGATTACACCTTTAAAGCAGACATTTTCTAAAATTTTACTTAAAATGATACTGTGAGTAATAAGATTACCCACATCTGTAGCTCTCAATCAGAATAACTTTGTGGAAATTTTAAGTAGTTTGAATGACACAACTGGCATTCACTTACAATGTTAATAACTTACTAGTCGATACAGGCTTTTTACTGAAGGTGTGAAATAAGGTTTGGTAAAACATTTTTATTTCTATTATTAGGAAAAGAACACAATGTTCTTTTTACTCATTTTTTCTGACATTTAATCCATGACAGTCAATCATTTAAGATACCATTTACTTTGTCCTTCATCTCACATTAAGACTTTCTCTCTCAATAGGCTTGGCAAAAAGGCCTGCTCTTCAGACCCCTCAAGACTCAGCTGACAACTGCAGCCTTAGCATTGATTTCCTCCTCTAGGGACTCCAGGAAAAGGTATCATAAGTTCAAACATTTTTCATTTCTAACATGGATTTGGTCATTTCAAATAACATTATCTAAGTATATAAAAGCCTAAGCAACCATCCAACCATTCGATAGCCTGACTGGTAGTTATAATGTGCAATGACCATCAGAGGGCAGACACTCATCACAGGAGCTGCTGAGCTGTGGTGTCTTGACAGGTGCAGTTCATGGGTGATGCACCCGGAACCAGAAAAGAGGGAGCCTGATTCTGGGATAGTTCACCCGAAAATCGCCCTCGCACAATCCAGAATCTCTCAGAGGATGTGGGAGAGCTGGTTTTGGCTCTCCCACAAATACAGTCAAATTTGTCCTAACCCTCAAATCTGACTGTATTTGGAGGTAGGGGCTTTAAAGAGATAATTAGGTAAACTAAGGTCACTGAGTTAGACCCACATCCAGTAGGACCAGTATTCTTATATGGAAAGATTAGAATTCAGGTCCAGAAGGAAGACAGAAAGACAGAGGACTAAGAAAAAACAACCCTTGCATTCGCCAATGAACTTGGTTAGAGTACAGTCCTGATACATCAAGGTTACAGGTTTGATCCCTGGTCAGAGCATGTACAAGAAGCAACCAATGAATGCACAAATAAGTGGAACAACAAATGGATGCTTCTTTCTCTCCCCTCCCCTCCCCTCCCCTCCCCGCGTGTTCGTTCTCCCTCTCCCTCTCTCTCTCTCTCTCTCTCTCTCTCTCTCTCTCTCTCTCTCTCTCTCTCAAATTAGTAAATAAAAATTTGAAAGAAAGAAAAAAACCCAACCCTGTTAACACCTTGATCTTGGACTCCAAAACTCTGAAGAAATAAATTTGGTTTTTAACTACCCAGTCTGTGGAACTTTGTTATGACAACTCTAGCAAACTAATACACCCTTATCACCTGTATGTTAAACACATTCCCAAACTCTTCCTACTTTTCTGAAAAAGATATTCTGAATGCTAAACATTTAATAAAATCTCACTTTTAATAATCTTAGGCCTATTCCTATAACTCTAAACCCCAAATCATCATCTAAAATCATCTAAGTGAATTATGACCCACTTGAACAATATGCTCGCTACACAGAAACCAGAAAAACAACATGTTCAGAAACTGAATACCAAGTAGAGTGAATTAACAATTCCTCCTAAAAAGAAGATAAGAAGAAAAAGGAATACCGTATTTTTCGGACCATAAGACGCACTTTTTTCCCCCCAGAAGTGGGGGGAAAAAAGTCCCTGCGTCTTATGGTCCAAATATAGTCTACACATATACTTTAAAAAAAAAAGTTTTTGTACTTGCCCGGCTCTGTGTGGTCTCTGTGTGCTTGCCCGGCTCTAAAATGGTTCTAAATGCTGCTGTTTACTTTACAGGGTTGATTACATGTGTTTATGACTGTGATGTTGGGTTTTAATGCACATAAAATATTTTAGGACACTATTTGTTTCAGAATCTTTTTTTCTTCATTTCCCTTCTCTAAAAACTGGTGCGTCTTATGGTCCAGAGCGTCTTATGGTCCGAAAAATACTGTACATAGTTCTACGCGGTATGGACAAACTAATTGGGAAAAAGTCAGCAGAGGAGTCAGCAGAGGAGTCAGGTGGGGCAGAGGATCATAGTACTAAACCAGGTCACAGTAATTTGGGTGAGAGCAGTGTCACTGATAATTTTAATGAAATGAGTTTTTTTTAAATATATTTTCATTGATTTTAGAGAGGAAGGAAGAGGGAAAAGTTAGAAACATCAATGATTTTAAAAAATCACTGATTGGTTGCTTCCGGCAAGCCCCCTACTGGGGATTGAGTGGCAACCCAGACATATGCCCTACAGT